TATTAGAAAGATAAAAAACTGAATTTAAAAGCATGAGTCAATTAACAATTGTCACACTATTTAAATGTTTGTTTTTTTGGAACAAAACACTGTGGTTTGTTGGTTAAAGTATGTACAAGTTATTACAAATAGTAGAGAACAGAATGCATTCTGTATGGAAGGTAATGGTAATGGTACCATAATAAATAACAATATTAATTCAAATGTTGTGTCCAAAAGATTTAAAAGAAAAGCCTAACATTTGCACAGGCTAAGCAAACACCACATGCTTCACAGCTGCAAGATTCATATCCCACCTGCCATATGCAGCAAATTTCCTACGTTGTGAGCACCTGGAGGAGGGGGAGGGGGCCGGTAGTCTACCCTGTCCAGGCTGCCCCGACCACCATCCCAGCGACCGCCTACATGCCAGGAGAGACGGGACAAGACAGAGGCACAACATGAGCAAGAGAGAGATGGGACTGAACACCAAGCAACACCTAAGACAAGGATGTTGTCCATGCAGGGTGTAAGACCACGAGGGCACAAAAGAATAGAGTATAGCAATAGCATGATAAACAGAGTGCACATTGAAACCGTGGGGAGACCCTTGAACCAGAAGTGCCAGATAGTAGCCTCTTTAGTTTTGATTGAAGACACGTCCACAAAAGTATCCTCCTCAATGAACAGTGATTGTTAATTTAGCTGGTTTGCTTATCTGAGTTTGAAGGATTGGATAGAAAACATGCTGGACATTTACCTGTTGATTCATGATAGTGTCCATTCATTTTAGCAGGCGAGTCTGTGGCAAGCTGCGAAGCTGTGACAGATCGAGTTTGCAAGGTTCCAGTCTTTGAAGGTGAGTTGGCATTTGGCTGCAATGAAAAAAGAAAAAAATAGTTAAACAACTATTTTTTAAAATTTGAAAATAGATACAAAAATATTAAATCGAATTACTATTTCCAATGAGAATTAATTAGCAATTTGAAACTGATTATACTTCTAGGCAAAAAGTCAACTACAATAACAAAGACAATGGTCACTTACTTCATTGAGCAACTGTCTTAGCTTCTGCAGCTGTGCTTCTAATTGTTTATTGTGATCTTCTAATATTTGCATGCGTGCTTCCAATCTTCCTTTATGTTGTCGCAGTAAGCGGGCTTCGTTGGCAAGTTCTACATCTTGTACCCGTGTGCCTTCATCTGGAGTTGACCCCGGTGTCTGTTTGGTTCTTAACCTTTCATACTCCGCCAAAAGTGAAGCATTTTCTTTTTCAAGTTCCCTAAAAACAAAAAAAGGATTCGTTTTAGAGAAATTAGTAAACTAATTGAGCAGCAGAAAATGGTACACCAAATTTACAAGCACACCTTAGGTATTTTTCTAATTCTCTACGTTGATCCTTATCAATGGCTTCCATGATTTGCACAGGGCTTCGAGGAACTGTCATTGATTCTCCTCCATTGAGGGATTGGCAATAGTGAGCAATAAGCTGATGTTCATCATCACTGTAAACCATGATTAAATAAGTCAACAGCAGTGAAATACACTACCAACTTTTTTGAAAAAAGTGTAAGATTATTAAAACTATTAAAACAACTAACGAGTCTGGGGTAGAGTTGCTCCTAGGTCTAAGTTCCACCTCAGCTAGCCGCGTTGCATACATTTCCAGTCGACTATGTACATCATGATGAGCACCATGAGCTGGGCCAGGGTGAGTGTGGTGGCCTGAGTGAATACCAGAATGTTGAGGAGATGGAGCAGGGCTCTCCAAGTTATCTCCTTCGAGTACAGTCTGGACAGGTAGGTATCCGACTCTGGGGTGCTTCTTGAAGTAACGCTTTGATTTAAATTTATTTCTGAGTGCACGAGTGAAATCTCTAACATCTTCTCCAGATGTTGTCTAGAAACAATTACATAGTTTGAGAGTTTGATTATAGATTATTTATATGAATTATAGCTCTGACAGAATTTATACTTACAGCTGTACAATATTCCTGCATAGGATGAGTGAGTTTGTGGTTCTTTGCTTTTCTACCAGAGAAGAAACAGTTCTGACACATATCAAAGTTAAAGCACTTCAAGCATCGATACCTAGAAAAATCATTTTCAAAAAAGGCAACCATATAAGATTTTGGACAGATGAAAAGTCAATTAATTTTACAATATTGTTATTCTGTGAGAGTTGAGGAAGAAAACTACTGACCTGAAACCAACAATTGGATATTCCTTGCATATATTGCATTTAGCTTGATGTTTTGCTGTCTCAGCAGCTGATAGACGGTGTAACACTGGCAACCAGACCATACTTTGAGGTTCTTGTTGAAGCCAGCTGAGGAAATGTACAGCCTGGAAATCATAGAAAAAGAAAACCGATTAACATGATGTTATGGCTGAGAAAGGAACTTTCTTACTGTCATATTGAATGATATTTCTGAAAGTGTAAAGCATTTATACCTCAATTGTTTCCTTATCTTTTCCCGCTTTTTCAAAGCAGCTACGAACTGATGGTTCAATGTTGGACCCACCAAAGGCAGCTACTTCCCCAAGTTGACGAGGAACTTGTAAGCAGTCATGTAGTAAAAGACCAAGCTTCCGCTGGTCAACAAGACGGGCTGGGTCAGCAATGAGGCGGAACAGATCTGTAAAGGAGTGTGAGAGAAAAAATTGATCAGTCTTCTGTCCACTTCCACAAAATAATAAAAACGTTATGAATTCTTTTACAGTATTTCAGTGAAGAATAGTCAGTACTTACATCTATACTTCTCTTCAAGATGTCCTTTACTAAGCAAGACAACACCAACTTTAAATGATAGGACTCTAATTTGTCCAGTTCGTTGACTGTTAAGCAAAAAGGCAAAATGTTGTTTATTAAACTTTTTTTATTTTAAGAAAAAACATAATCCCAGTAACATTGGTACCACTCCTACCTGTCATAGACATTCAGCAACCAATTCAGTAACAAATCTAAACAAAGAGGTACACTGACTAGACCTGGATGCTCTTTTGCCATTGGCTCATAGACAGACAGAAGCACAGTTATCATGTCAGATACATCAATTAATTTGTCATTTTGAGCCCTTAAACCATGTGAATCAAAGGCTTCTATAGCAGTTGACAAATTTAACAGATCCACTGTGGAAGAATAATTTCCATTAGTTTACATGAACAAATAGAGTTAAGACAACTCATTTTTCTGAATAACTGAGTTCTTGACTTTAATTCCTTTTTCTACTTCAAACTTACAGCACATGCTCTTCTGCACAGCCCGAAGTTTCATAGCTGTTCGATATGCAGAGAAACGTACTTCATTGAGCTCTGAAAGTGATGACATGAGCTCCAGCATTTTAGGATGATCCCAATGAGTCGTCTGAGTGTGATGGCTGCAGAAAGTCATGAGTAGTTAAAATATTTGAGAGGATTAAATGTTTAAGTCTAATCAAAGTAATGTAAAACTTCACTAACTTGATGTAATACGGCACTTTGGTGTGGCTTACAGCCCGTTCCCAAGGGGTTTCAACAGACTCAGACAGGAAACTATGGTTTGGAGCTGCTCCACCTTCTTTGCCAACATCACTAAGCTGCTTGTAGCGTTCATCAACAGCTACTTGGAGGAGCTTCCACCTGCAATTATGATTTGAATTCCAATTCATTTAACAAAGTACTCTAATGTTCCATATTTAGTTCAATGGGGTGATTTTTTAAAAAGAAAATACCAAGGCACACATGTTAACTACTCACCTTGTGTTGAGCTCCTCCTGTCTTTTTAAACTATTTGCTGATATGTTGACATTGTTGAGTGAGAACATAGCTGCTTGATCATTGATGTCTTCAACACTTCTTTGAATGTTACGCAGATGTTCCCCAAGTTTCTAATTAAACAAAAATGAAACAAGTTAAATTTGAAGCTGCCATACAAACAATTAACTGGAAATATTTGTTTTCTTCAGTTCTCTTAATGAAATTTCTACCTGTAGTTGTTCTTGCATTTCGTTGGCTTCAACAACATCAGCAGGTGCTCTCCAAGATTTCTGAACTGATTCGACAGTGGACATGCGGGCAGAGAGTTCATCCAAATTCTTCTGGAATACACGCATTCTCTGAAACATTTAAAATTAAAAATTCAATTCAAAGACTCTCATACAATGAGATCAGTCTTATCAGTCCTAGAAAAGATTTTAAATTAAATGTACAAGGAAAAAAGCTACATAAAATATGTACAGGATCATAAAATTTTTCCATGACTGCCAAAAAAAGAAACCTGTAAAGAGAAACTTCAATTTCTGAAAATGAATTAAGGTTTCATGCAGATGCAAAATCCATGCAAATAGATATCTAAATATTAGTAGGTGAAAAAACTTTAAAAGAAATGATTAAAAAATAACATTTTTTTTAAATGTGAAAATGAGGCGGGTGTAGACGAGCTTGGGGTAGAGGACGATTATGATGGAGACGATAATCATTTGCTACAGGATCTGACTCCCAACTCCACCTAAATGCAGAGATGAAGCTCACAACGCCCGCCAAGCCACGTAAAAGAGTGCAACAATGGGGGCTGTGACACGAATAGGGCCAAGTAGTGTGGCGGCTGCTGGGGCTGG